CCAAAGGCAATTCATCCCCCCACTGACCTACTTGTTTTCACAATCTGACACGCGTGATTTAGGAGCTGAAGTAGGCCAGGAGAGCAGCGGCCATGTTCGTCTAAACGTACCTGCTTCAGGGCTCCTAAAGTTCACCACGTCACCACGTTTACACCGCCAACACCGGCACCATGAAACAAAGAGACTGATACATTTACATTCATTGCTCAGAGGTTCCAGTGTTCTCTGAATAACTTGTCTTGATAAATGCTCGCAGTACCATTGTACAGGGAGGAAGCTACTGAGCACAACTAATGCATAATACATGTGTTGAGGAAGAATGAATACACAAGAAAACCACATCTTTACTTAAACACTTGGTGCCAAGCAAGCAAACTTAAATAATTTGAATAAAAATGTATAATTTACTCTGTTAACAACATGTCTGTGGATCTGTATTTTTCTGCATCGTCCTCAGCTTTTAGTTTGCGGGGCGAAAAAGAAGTCCAGGAAGACCATTTGTAAGCTGACACAAAAGAGTATTCATCATCGAAATTATTTACTCGGGCAAGGTTCTGAAAGAGTGTGAAGTGGGTTATTCACCGACATGTTAAAGTGGCTTTCTGCAGCCGTGGAGGTCCTTCCACAGGAGTGGGCCGTGGGAGGCCTCAGACTAATGTGTTTTCCCCAATAAAAAAGTTAAATAAATGCACACCCCCACCCCTTCTAATCCATAGTTAAGTGTGCCAGTTGCTGAATAGGCTCTAATGTTCGGGCCAAAAAAAAAAAAAAACGTGTGCTGAGAGTGAGGCAGGGTTAGGAAATGGATGCTAATTTTCTGACCCAATTTTTTTTTCTGAACAAGTGGCTGCAAATTTGGTGCTGATCTTGGCACAGACTATTTCTGGTGTCCACTTCAACCCTTTCCAACAGATCAAATCATTTGATTATTTAAACAGTAAAACTGCATATGGATTAGCAACTCGGCAAAACGAAACCGACAGAAAAAGAAAGCTGTACATGTTGCATTTTTTCATTTTATTTAAAATTATCCTGAGTTTTTTTTTTCAAAATCTTTATCTGATTTGTAAGTTGACTCCAGAGCTTTTTCACGCCAGACCAGATCAGCCTCCTTTCTTCTCGCTGTGATTTCTGAAAGCGCCAAGGTGTTACAGGAAGTTGAAGTCACCCTGTTGTTGTTACGTCTCTGACCTGCCAAGCAAAGCGGTGACAGAGTCGATTCACGTGTCAGAGGGTAAGCCGACATCACACCCTGAGGGTTGATGGAGTCTGAGACCAGCTGACAGGATTTAGAGTGGACGTGTCCACATCAATGACACAAGAGTTACACATCACTTTATTCTGCAGTGTCAGCTGTATTAAAGCTTGCAYCCATGCAGGAAGTCAGCCTGATTGATTTATGATTGGTCTACAGCAACTTAAAGGAGACATATCCTGTTTTTTAAATCCTTCAGTTGGGGTCTTTATAAAGTGGAATGGCAATGCTTTGGTCTGAATTACTTATTATTGTAACTCCACAAGCCCCTCTTTCACCACTTTTCTGAGGTGTGTCTCAGATCAACACGTTTTGACACTGTTTCTTTAAACCAGCTTCCAGAGTGGTCCATTTTAGAGGGCCGGAAAAAGTTTTTATTTAGAAGTTAATTAAAAGATGTCAACAAGGGAAGACTTGTCCATCCAGCCCCAGATCCAGGGGACAATGAAGACCAGCAAATTAAAGCTGGTAAGTCCAGGCCTTAATTAGAAGCTCCGTCGCAAATTCTGTAATGGCGAAAACTGAACAGATGGAAAAATATGACCCAAACTAAATATAAAGAGATCTTTGCAGCACCAGGAGAAACTAAATTCAACTTGTCTGCACTGCTAGAGACTCCAAGTACACAACAAAATGTATTTAATGTCTAGAAAATGAATTTTGCACAATGAAAGCATGGGGGCGGGGGGGCTTTTGCAGTCATGCCTCAAGTCCAGCAGGTCTCTGTTTCACAGACCACCCATGTCATTAAAGGCAGGGGCCAAAAAAATGTCAACTTCTCTTAAAAAATAACCAAGAATTTACATCTCTGCCAGGCTTTCACAACAGCAAGCTGTGAACGTTTCAGACTCCACCCCTCATTACAAACAGTTAAGGGCYGAGGCTTCACTCAGAACCTGAGGTCACCACAATGAAGAGAAACTGGATCCAGGTGTCAAACCAGCAGCAAAGTTGGACTTTGTTGTGGTTTCCTTAAAAAAAACAAAAGACAAATAACCAAAGTTGCTGAGACTTGTTTTTCTCCATTTTGTGTTCATTTTCTTCTAAAAYGTTTCTATACTGTGTAACATTTTGTCCCGTCTCACTTTCCGTGAGCCTGTCAGCTTGATGCAAATCTMAGCTTCTTAAAATAGTTCTATAGGTGTAACAGTAGATTTATTTCAAACGCTGCGTTGAAATTGAATGTGGCTTTACTGCCTGTCTTGTCAGCTCAGCTAACAGCTTTTGCTCKACGCTGAAACTCCATGTCATGGGATTGTTATCAGTCTTTCGACTCCAAGTTCGCCCGAACAGAGAACAAATCTGCATATTACAGATCAAGGGCAAACTACAGAGAGTGCAGCAAGTCAGCCGTGATAACAATCACTTCTCCTTTTTTTTCTTCTTCCTTATGACAGAGAGAGACAAACAAGATTCCCATCAGTGTATGCTTTAGCTTCCTGCTCTTCTGTTTTTGTTCTCCTGGCTCTGATCAGTTTCAGATGATTAAGGTGACAGTGAGCAGTCTGTTTCCAGAACTTGGAGATAACGCATCTCTGATTTGCATAGATATGCAAATGTGGCTTGTGACAATTGAGCTGCAGAGACAGGTGATATCAATCGGTTCCATTGTGTGCGAGCAACCCGCTAACGGTAACTAGGTCATGGTTTTTGCTGCCTCTGTTTCCTGTCTGATGGTTGTGTACTGTAATCACAGCTCATGCAGCCTGTGTCGAGTTATTTATGATGGTGCAGACAGTCTCCAGATGTCATACCATGTTTACAGTCGGGGGCTTGTCACAAACTGATGTACTCCACTCCAACTTTTACTGTTTAACTTTTGCCTGAGCTGTGGGTTTAAGTTCTGTATCGAACACGAGACAATAAATCCTGGCAGGGATGTTCAAAACTTAATCTGTTGCTCTACAATTTGTTGTGGTTGTATTTTCTAAACCAGTGGTCTTCATTTAAAATTCAGCAAGGTCCATCAAATTTATTTATTTATTTATTTATTTATTGCAAACTTTTACAGAATTCAGAAACTTTTCTTACAAGAATAACGTTGTACTGGAATAACATTAAAACAATACGGGGATAAAGTTAYAATATYACCAAAATAAAGTTAAATTTTTATGAGAATAAAGTCAAAGCCTGATATTATGAGAACTTCTGCATGGAAAAAGCAGTCTAACCTCCAATTTACACTACATGCGGTTCCGCTCTGCAGTTTCGCCACCATTTGTTCCCACCTCAGTTTATACAGCGTCCACTCCAGTGCGAAGAACAGAGGAACTCTGAGAAGCATTCGCAGGAAATGTGAAATTTGTGTGATAAATTTTGYGATAAATGCAGAAGTCAGAGCAAAGGAATTCATTCTGTGGAAGACGGACTCCAAACACAGCWGAAACTGCATCACTGTTGTCTTTTTTGAATTTTCTGATTTCAGAATAAAATCCATGTGTGTATGTGTAYGCTGCCACCTGAYTCCCAAACAGAATGATACATTTTGAAAGCATTTGTATATAAATATATCCAAATACAGTGTTTATTAATACAGATAGGGTTTCAGCAAAATTAGTCAGTCTTCTGTGAATCATTTTGAAAATACGGATGCTGTGCTTGTTCCTTTTTCTGTTGGTGCAGCATGATCTGTGTAGATTGACTCCATAGCAGCTCCGGCATCTGGTAAAAATAGGACTGAATCTTATTTGGCGGATTGCCATGTGGAGCCAGTAATCAATGCTTTCATTGATTGTAATGGTTGTGTATTTACTTTAGAGMAGAACCGCATCCAGAATAAATTGGAGTTTATCACTGTGTTAAAAAGAGGGATGATGTCATGTAAGGTTAAATTTTGGTATCTGTGTTATTTAACTGTATGTATTCATATAAAAACTCAAGTTGTATGTTATTGCAGTTAATGGCTGCACTGACAGATTTCATCGCCACACAATGTGGATAGAAGTATATTACRCTAACAGTAATCGGACTCCTTCGTAAACACAGTGACACACATGAGGGCCGTCCACAGCAGGTCTGAGTCGACCAAGAAAAGGACGTCATAATATTATGACWCTATTCTTAGGGCTGGGTATCACCTAAAATATGGTGATACAGTACGATTCTTGATACAGTGCAGCTCAATTTGATATCCATATTACTCCATGCCACTGACTCAACAAAACCAGCAAAATATTATATTTTTATAATTATAATTATATATACAAACGTCTACTTTTAAGGACAAACTTCTAAAATACTGCTGGCCATTTTGCTTACTAAGTGACCTCATTGCAGCTTGCTGTTCCTGGCTTTGAACAGTAATCAATCATCGTTATACTGCCCCCTAAGGGTTGAAGGGTGTGTCGATATTAAAAGATAGAAATTCTGTACAATATAATTTATCAAAATATCGATTTAAATCAATTTTCATGCACTATTTATTCTTGTATTATCATGACTTTATTGTTGTAATTTAAAAAGAAATTCTCGTAGCCTGGCCCTAATACCTTATTCTTTGAGACAAACGTGGAAGTCTGTATTCTCTCTGCAGAGTTAAACCGAGGGCCTAGCTGAGAGAACTACTATAAATGCTGGAAAAACTGCATTGCTGAAAGGAAATTACCATAAAATACAGGAAAATGTGCATGGATACATTTGTTTTTCAACCAATCTGGGTCCAGATGAGACTGCAGTCTGTTAAATGAGCACCCTGGTCAAAACCATGTCAACTCTTATTTTAAATAATAATTTTCTTTTCTTCCAGCATCCTCACCTGGCCCAAACATCACCCTGGAGGGCCAGTACCACTGCCACCAGGGCCCAGGAATCCCCCTGGACAAACTGTGTGACTTCAGTACAGACTGTCCTCTCGGGGACGACGAGGGCGATCGCTGCCGTAAGTCCACTCTGATACACAAACTGATGTGTGTTCATCTTTTCAATCCGTCGTGAAGCTGTTCAGCCGTGTTTGCAGTGAATCACCCTTAACGAAGCAACAACTGACAGTCTGTGTGTGTCCTCCTGACAGTGAGGCAGAAAGAAAAGGCCTAAAAAAAGAAACCCAGCACAGATATGCTTGGCCAGCATTTCTCACCCCTGACATATTCCACAGTTGTTATTTCTATCTCTTTGCACATTTGTTTCTGCTTTTCTCAGGGTTTAGAACAAACGTTGGCCAAGTATGCTGACATCTTCCTCACAAATCCCCGAGGCCGGATGCTTTTTGTGTGTGCACACCTTTTTTTTTTAGTGCTGCCTGCATGCACACACACATATTTTTTTTACATTATCATCCAGATTTATTGACGTTCAGAAGTCTCCCACACACTATTAAAACAACAATAATGATGTTGTGGCTTATCCCCGAGTTTTTACTCATATTAAACTAACCAGAATTAATTTGCTGCTGCCCGCAGTGCAGGTCAGCCTCCCATGTGCTGCTTATTAAAATGATGCCTGCTCCCTCGTGTGTTTAGGTTTGCTAACAATGGGAGCTGGGAGATAAGGGGGTAACGATAGGGTGAAAATCCCAGCCAGGCGCAGATTGTCTTTCTGCTGCGAGAGGATTTATCAGCGCTAATTGGCTTGAGAGGCTAACCCAGGGGTATAATCTTCATTTAAATGCAGTGTGTGTGTAATGTTTTGATTTTAGGAGCGTCACGTGGACATTTGAGAGGGAGCCAGCCTGTGTGTGTCGCTGGTTGATTTATGTGTTGCATCATGGAAGCTGAAGGATCCTGTTTGATACAAACGGATGAGTTTTGCAGAAAGAGGTCTATTCAAGACTAAAAAAATGCATTTGTGCACAACTCCTCGCATAGAATGATGTCTCAGAGGTCAGCTGTTTCCAGCTCTGAARCTTTTATTTAAAGATTAACAATTTAAATATCTTATTTTACCAAGAGCAAGAACTGATTCTGCATAAGTTTTTTTTGTTTGTCAGGCCACCCTGACTCATTCAGATGTCTTTTGTTTGTTCCACACAGCCTACATCTGTACCTGCAGATGTATGATTCATTCAAAATTCATCAAACTCGCTCATCACCACGCTGCAGAAATCATATGGCATTGCCTCTGATACCATATTCTCTATGATCCATTCACGAGTTATCTGCATCTGATTTGATCTATTTAAATCCTTCATAAGCTCTGCCAAGGCTCATTAACAGGAGAGAGCAGAAAGAGGCAGGAAGAACAAAATCAGCTCGTGTCAATCACAAAGATTCCTGATGTATAAGGAAACACGAGTCCCCATGGATCAGCCTTGCCATCCTACCGCTGCATCATTATGCACAAGCACATCCTCTTCTCTCTCTCTCTCTCTCTCTCTCTCTCTCTCTCTGAGAGTCTCAGCTTCCTCTGGTTGATCTCAGTCCGTCTAAATTCTGCAGACGTCCCACTGCTTTCCAGCTCCACAGTCACCCTGTAACGAAACGGAAATGCTGCTTTGCATCAAAGCGCGAGGAGCATGAATTTGAAGGAGAATCTGTGAGGATTTGATTTGTTTTTTTGTTTAACTTATTTATGGGAGAAATTGTCTGAGTTTAAAATATCTTCGCACAAAAGACCTCGCAAAAGTATTAGAGGTTTTATGACTTAGACCTGTTAAGAGCTTTAGTTCCTCTACAAAAACACAGGAATGAAGTTATTGTCTGAAAACACTGACATTCAAAACTAAAAACTTGAAGAGAAGCCACCTCAGTTCTTATATTTATTGTTATGTTCAGTATGACAAATCCTTCTGTCTATATTACATGCATGACCACCTTGAAGTTTTGCTTTTCTCACAAGCATTATCAAACAGTGACTGATTTATGTGGGRTAAAGAGGGATTTGTGTCAAAAAAAACAAAGTCAAACATAAGATTTGTTGTTCTTATAGATGAGAAAGTTTGCTGAAGRTTTGTTTTAAAACTATCTTTCTAATGATCTTAATGACAGGGTTGGCTGTGGCAGAGTTGTGTCCTTTGGGCAAGGCACTTCACCTRCCTTGCCTGYTGGTTTTGGCCAGAAGGTCCGGTGGCGCCGGTGCAAGGCAGCCTCRCCTCTGTCAACGTGTGTGGCAGCTGTGTTAAAGTGTTAAATAAGTTCAGGCCATTTACAACTTTTACCATCTCTGCTCATGCTTGCTCTGGTTAAAAAATTACTTTACATGGATACTGTTTGTTTAAAACATTAGTAGAACATAGGAAATATTTTTACTTATAAAAAGAAAAGCTAAACAATTAAAAGTCAACAAATAGTATTTTCTCTTTTTAGCTTGGGATGGGCAACTGGCGACCCGTGGGCCACATCTGGCCTGAAAGTGACATCCATCAGGCCCACCAATGAGGCTCTGCCTTTATTTATTTATTTATTTATTTATTTATTTATTTATTTATTTGTTTATTTATTTGTTTGTTTGTTTATTTGTTTATTTGTACCTAAAAAAACACTTCAAGCAACTTTTAGTGTCTAAGAGCTGCCTTGAGTCTTTTTTTGCGTAAGATTATGTATGTATGTATGTATGCATGTATGTATGTATGCATGTATGTATGCATGTGTGTATGTATGTATGTATGTATGTATGTATGTGTGTGTGTGTATGCATGTATGCATGTATGTATGTATGTGTGTGTATGTATGTATGCATGTATGCATGTATGTATGTATGTGTGTGTGTATTTATGTATGTATGTATGCGTGTATGTATGCATGTATGCATGTATGCATGTATGTATGTATGTGTGTGTGTATTTATTTATGTATGCATGTATGCATGTATGTATGTATGTGTGTGTGTGTATGTATGTATGTGTGTATTTATGTATGTATGTGTGTATTTATGTATGTATGTATGTTTGTATGTATGTATATATGTATAAATGCATGCATAAATGAATGCATGCATAATTGCACAAAGCTAAATATGAGAAGTTAACTGAAGTCATAAATTTAAAAGCAACACCAGTTTTTTTTACAAGAACCATGCAGGAATCTGAACCCAAGATGTTTTATGCATTTGTACTTCAGTTTGTTGAGGTGTTTATTTTTGTTGCTTTTAATGTTTTGTACTCATATTTATCAAACAAGAGTACAACTGTGGTATATGCATTTGAGCATGAAATATGTTAAGTTACTGCACTGTATGTTAGTTTATTAAACACATATACAGTACACAAGCAGTTTTAAAATGTCCGTTTTATAACATTTGGGTAAGTGTGCAGCACTATGTGGCCCTCTGGTAGCGTCAACAGAAAAATTCTGTCCCCTTCCATCATGTAAGCACAGCAAGCAGTACAGCATCATTCTGCATCATTCTGTACTGATGYTGCTGTGACACCTGAATTTCCCCTCAGCAGGACAATAAAGGCTATTTCTATTCTATTCAATTCTATTCTTTTCTATTCTTTTCTGAAGTTGCCCATCCCTGTTTTAGATTTTTTAATTTCTTTTTTTTTTTCGTTCTGATTGAAGCAAAGCATGTAAAATTGTTTCAGATTATCCGACATAAACATGGAAAAACTTGATTTTAGCTAAGAAATGATCATGTTTATACAGAATTGGCATCCTAATGGAGAAAATGCAGAGTGCTTTTTTATAATTAAAAAATTAAAAATATCCCCACTTAAAAAAAATGAGATCATGTACTCGACTGACCACCTCCACTGTAGCGGTTAGCTTTTAGCCACTTCAGACTGCATCAGACTGGTTTACAGGAAGTGGATCACTTACCTGAAATCCACTCGATCAGTGGCTGAATGTAAAGTGAAAGGCTTTTAACAAAATTGTGTYATTACCTCGAAACAGACAAGATTTTTTTTATTTGGTAGCACTACATGTTCACTTGTAAACTGTGAAATGCTCATTCTTCTTGTCTGACCGTCCGTTCTGATTTTTTTTTTTTTTTTTTTGTCTGTAAACTCTAAATTACAGCTGGTTTTCTCTTGAACATGTTTTGAATAAATGTGAGAACATAAAACTTTCAGAGAAGTGTCCATGGATGAAATTTCCTGGTTCCTCGCACAGCTTTGAGACATTTCAATTGCCACCTCTCATTTCCTCTGACTTCCTAATTTCTCTTTCCGTTCAGCGGCTTTGTTGTTTCTAGTCGGAGAGCTCACCACGTCTCRTTCCCAATTTTCACAAATACATTAAATCCTGTGAGCTGTTTTTCTCTTTCCTGACTGTCCACTCATTAATCGCCAGTCCCTTCCTTCAGCTTTGTCCTCCTCCTTGGATGTTCAACCGTCAGCAATCACTGCTCTTTCTTCTAACATTATACATATCCTTAATATACTCTGTCCTGTCCTTCTCCAGGCAGGTTCCTCAATGGCAGCTACTGCTCGTTTGAAGAAGGCGATTGCGGCTGGCAGTCAACTGCAGGCAGGAACCTCTCCTGGAGAAGAGTTCAGCCTCCAGCCAGATCAAGCAGACAGAGCTGCCCACCATCAGGTTTGTCTCATACGATCAGGGGCGGAGCCAGAAGGGCGGGCAGGGTGGCAAATACCACCCTTGGCAGCCGATTGGCACCCCAGGTGCCACCCCCAAATGATTGACAAGTGGGTGGGGAAAATGAACTTCGTAAAAAGATGTTTTCTGATAATTCTGTATATATAAATTTTCAGCTGTGAATGTTTAGAAATGGAAAAATTATAGCCCTTTGTAAAATTCGCATTAGCATCAGTGGTTAAATTAATTTTTGATTAGCATCGGCAATCTGTACATTATCATTTTTAGCTACTACACTACAAATTTCATTTCAATAAGTCGTAAAATAGCTGAATCATAGTGTTTTAAAGACAGCTGTAGTGGACATCTTGAATTTTTGATTAGCATTTGGAAATGATTTGTATGTCTAAAAATGACTAAATAAGTTGTGGCTAGCATTCAGCATGTTTTTTTAATCATTCCTGGTTATGAATACACAAACTTTTGGCTCAATATTTTTAAAAAGGCTAAATTAAAGTCGTCTGAAAGTGGCCATCGTGAATTTTTGATTAGCATTCTGAAACAATTTGTATGTCTAAAGATGACTAAATGATAAGTTGTGACATGTTTTTTGATCATTTCTAGTTATGATTACACAAACCTTCGGCTCAGTATTTTTAAAAAGGCTGAAATAGTCATTTGGAATTAGCTGCGGTGGCCATCTTGAATTTTCAAATCCTGAGTGCTTTTCTTTATTTGTATGAGGAAAAAGAAAGAAAAAAACATCTTGGCCAGCCCTCGCTAAATAATCTACTTCCTCCCCTGCATAAGATGTAACCACTGCCAATCAGATGCTGTGAAAACCTAATTTTATGTGTAAGTGTAGAGCTTTAAAAGCAGAGACTTTACATTTTTAAAAGGGTGGATTTCGGGCTTAGAAATGGCCCCCACCTTGAACATTAGAGTCTTGACTTTGAGTTCGGAAACAATAAAAGTTCTTATGTGCCAGACACAGATTGTCTCAGTCAGAGGTCAGTGAATCGCTGCAAACAGAATCCCTCGGGGTATAAGACACTACACAGTCCTGCCTTCATGGTGAGAGCAGCGGCTGACTTAAGATTTGTAAGGTTTGGTGAGGCATGTGTTTATAGGGATCCTAGGAGCAGTTTGATGTATTGTTTTCATCTCTGCTGTGACCCAAAATAACCACTAGACTTTTTTTAATCTATCATTTGTGTAACAAAATAAAGAAAAACAGTAGCTTACTGTGGCCATTTTAAAAGCTATAATGCAGGTATGTATGTATGTGTGCACATATGGAGGGACATTTTTATTTTAAAGTTAATAGTAATAATGCATTACACTGCTGTTTTTTAAATCACTGTTTATTACTATAAAATGTGTTTAAGGTGCAGTATTTACCATAGAGGGGAGCCAGTCTAAAGGTCAGCGTGGCCCAGCGATGTTGAAGAGTCCCGTCTTCCCTCCTCCATTAAGGAACTCTCCCTGCATGGTAAGCCCCATGCCTTTTACACTACYAACATTTTTACAGACACTTGAGCAGTTTGCAGTAAAACACATGCAGAATTTGACATTTACTGGGTGTTCACAGCTCATTTTTTACAACAAGTGTCTTTTCTTTTAAACAGAAGTATGTTTTTAAACAATTAAGGCCAAAAGTGAAGTGATATTTCCCAGGATTCAGGATTAGCTGATTCAGTAAATTCATGGTTTCAGCTTAGTTTAGTTAAATATGAGGCTTTAACATTAACACAGATACATTTAATAGTTCAGTTTTGTTACAGATAATTAGAAAGCAGAACTTAATTAGCTTCTGTTGATTAATTGGCTAACTGAAGATTTCTAGTTAGCTTACTTTACTTTATTATCTACTCAATTTAATCTAACTTCAGTTAACTAATTACAATCGGTTGAGTTCTGTTGAAGCTAACCAATTAGCCAACAAAAGTTATTTATTTAGCTAATTATCTACAATAAGTCCAGTTAACTTTAGTTCATTTAACTTGTTAGGTTTACTTAAAAAAATTAGCCAGCTTTAATTAAACTTTGGTTTGATTCAGTTCTGAAGGAACGGAATAAATAACTGAAAACAATTAAATAAGTTTAAATAGTTAGTTAGATAACTCAAGTTAACTAATGTGTTTGATTGTTTGTTTGTTTGTTTGTTTTGGTTTTTAGCACTAATTTGACTCAGAGTTACTGATAATATAGGAAAAATTCTTAATATTAGATTTTCTGGCATTTAAAATATTCTACAAATGTGACTTTGTCAGCCACAGTAAAAAAAAAGTCATGCACTGTTTGGATTCTGACGTATGTCCTTGAGTTGTTTACTTGATGTCTTAATTTATTCTGTGTTACATAAGTTTGTGTTTTTTGTTGTTTTAGTATGTCTCTGAATGATAACCTTTGACTTTTCGTTACTTTATGTTTATTTGGTACATTTGGTGTGGAGGTAAGGCAGGAACTCGAGGTCAGGGAGGTTAATGTATGAGATAAACTCAGGGCAAAGGTCAGAAAAGACAAAATATGGAAGATGAATGTGCGGTGGAATTACGTTAATCTAAAAATTATCTAAACAAATCTGTGTGAAAGGCAGATGGGATAGAAAACCAACAAAAATATGAAAATAAAAATGATGCTCTTGCTTCTCAGGAGTAATATTAACGGTTTCTATTTGGCGTTGAACGTCGTCGTTGCCTCAATGATTCATGGCAAGCAGCTAAAGATTAGCTATAAATCTAAAACACACCACGTCTTTCTTGTTCCTTGGACAACAACAAACAACTGAACGTTAGTTTGAGGTGTCAGCAATGAAACACGTTTATTTTCTTGCCACGTTTGAGGTTAACATTAACATTTAAATGGTCAACATGACGTCTCACAGTTGTTAATAAGACCCAGATTCCTCGCACAGAATTTAGATGTCTTCAATTTATTCATCAGTATTAAACCAGCATCTGTTCCACTTCAATAATGAAAAAAAGAATGGTGTATTTTGCTCTATAAATGCTGTTGAGGATCATGGAGGCGAGCTTTGATTTGTTTTTGTTTTTTTGCTATTTAAATCGTCACAAATTGTGTCTTTTCAGATCCAGCACATCCACCGTTACACTGATTTATGATGAAGCATTTTTAGTGTGAAAGATACCCGAATTATCATCTTAAATGAATTATTTCTAGTTTTAAATTATTTATAACTAAGCAGATGGCTGTAACTGATTAATGCAACCCTCTCATGGCTAATAACACATTTGCTGGATTTACTTAAATTCTAAAATACTCTGTTATACACTACAGTGTACGACACACTGAACCTTTGCACTGTAAGTTTATAATCTCATCTTTATTCAACAGGTGCGGTTCTGGCTGTGCTCTGGAGGTCTGCAGAGGGACTCGCTGTCTTTGTGGATCGTGGAGAACAGCACAGGGCCCGATGAGCAGCGCAGACTGTGGCGTTTAGCAGGCGAGCCCAAATCTGACAGAGGCTGGAGGCTCATCACGATTCCTCTTTACGGACTGGCAGACTGGTACGCCAAACTATCAACCGTTGACACTGTTTTCAATCAGATTTAAGCAAACTTAAAGTTTTAAAGTCCTTACTAATAGTTCAGTATTTCTGCTCAGGTCTATAACACCCTCAGAATCTCATACTGACCTCATTTTAAATTGGAGGAATTATGCAAAATCAACTTTTTTGAGTTTTATGTCATGTTACGTCATTCCCTCACCAAACACATACTCAGAGTGTTGCTTTGGCTCATCCTTGAATCTCCTGTGGCCATGTGGAGCTGCCTAAACGCTTGCTCATAAAAAGCTCCGCCTATTTACCCAAAGCTCCTCCCACCCCGCAGAGCCCCTGCACCACACAGCTCCACCAGAATTTCTTTACAAATAACTGATTTCATTACAAAAYACATCTTCTCAGAGCGGCTGTGGTAGAGTGTTTAGGGGAGTCGTCCTGGAACTGGAAGGTCACCGGTTCGATCCCTTGTCCAGCTGTTTCAGTTGTTGTGTCCTTGGGCAAGACACTTCATTCGCCTTGCCTACTGATGGTGGGCAGAGGGTCCGGTGGTGCAGTATGACAGCCCCGCCTCTGTCAGTCTGCCCCAGGGAAGCTGTGGCTACAATGTAGCTTATCACCATTAGTGTGTGAATGAATGATGCATGAAAATTGTAAATTGTATAATTGTCTTTGAGGTTCTCGAGAGCGTGCTGTGTAAGACTAATTAAGGGGGTGGCTGTGGTGTAGTGGTAGAGCAGCCATCTTGGGACCAGAAAGTCACAGGTTTGACTCCCCGCCATGCCCACATGCTGTGGCGTCCTTGAGCAAGACACCCAGCCCCCAACTGCTTGTGTCAACCGCAGTTTGTGTCAACGCTCCKATGAAAGGTTGTAAACATGTAGCATGTTGTGATGATGTGTTGAAGTGGCAGTGTCAGAAATGGTAGGAGGATCTTGAAGCAGACGCCAATTTCAAGGTGTTTAGAAAGGCTATAATGCAAAGTCCAATATTTTTTTATAAATACAGCATTTTTCAGAACAACTGAAAGTAACATAGTTACTTCATTGTGGTAAAGAACTGAAATATGTGCCTGAAAAATACAGTAAACACCCCTGTTAAAGCATATTTCTTAGAGCAGATCAGTCTTTTTTTTAATCATTTCATCTCAACTAATGAATCCCACAGGGGCCTTTAGGATGGGCTGTCCATGTGTACAACTATACAAAACACTCGCTTCTTATTCCACTTTTCTGTGACAAAGTGAGTCGAAATTAATACACCAAACTCTCAACTTGCCATCCAATTAGCTACTGCCCTGATTTTCCCCCCAAGAAGAGAGTTTAAAACAAAATCAAATAAAAGGCGTTTTCTCTCTGTTTGTCTGAGGGTTTCTTTACCGCTCAGGCTTGGATAATCCGGCTCCCCTGAGAGTGATTAACTTTTGATTCCTGGTTATGTAGTCAGCTGTGTTTGTGCTTTTGATTAGAATGTCATGTCTGTAAGCACTGGGCGAACCTGCCAGACTTTGCTCGATGACCTTTTGCAGAGCTTAAATAGAATCAGAGATTGATTTGATTTGATTTGATTTATTTATTTAACAGGAAAATATTAAAAATCAAGCCTGACTCAGCATAATTGCTGTTTTACAGCAGGTTCCTGTTCTGCAGCACATAAAACACTCAGAATTAC